GGGGAAAAATTCTTAAAATTAATAAAATCCAAGACAGAGCATAGGTAATAAACCTGCTTCTTTTTCTTCTTGGGTCTTCTCTTCCTCCGAGGTTTGTGAGCATCAGAGTTGGAACTTAGAATACTACCATGACCTGTCCCTGATCTTGAGGGTCCCCTTACTTTGAAGTCTGAGTTGCTTTTGCTATTTGATGTGTTGCTCAATGTAGAAACCTCAGATCTCTGCATAGATGAATTTTGACCAGAAGATGACCCAAACCTTGACAACTTCATGTTTGAAAGACGAGGTGGAGGCATCAAAGCTCTAGCAGAAATCAGCCTCTATAAAAAGGTTGAAGATATTCAAAATTTGCAAAATAGTTTGTGACTATATATTTCATAGCATAGAATATTAGGAATTAAAACACAGTTGCTACTCTTACTGTCAGACCTGATTTTTTTCATCACTGGACATGCCAGACACGCCTTTACCAGAAGCACTGGAAGCCTGCTCCCTGCAACCAATAGAAAATTTTATATAGCAAATTCCATCAAAATAAAATATGTTTGCTGCATCTTAATCATTAATGCAAATTTCCAAAAACAAATGCATTTGGAATATTTTCCTAGCATAATGCTGGACAAACGCCAGAAGTTTCATAAATAAATGTGGCTTCGACTTCATTAATACCAACATCACAAGTGAGGGTTGATTCCGCTACTCTTCTTTTAACATTCTAATTCTCCTTTACCTTAATGCACGCAGGGTATATATGAAATTCTCATTGTTAGAATTGCTAAAGGATTAAAACATCCCCACTGACCTTGTGCTTTTGTCTGTCCATTCATCATCTGCATCTGCTTCATCACTAGAACTCCCAGCAAGGAAAAAATCATCATCACTCAGATCCAAAAGACCGTCATCCTCACTGCCAGTCTCTGACAACAGCACAAAATCAAGTTGACAATTTATGGAACGGGAATGCAGCATAAACACAGAGGCATATTTATTTTTTTAAAAATACAAAGCAGAGCTTCAGGCACATCGATGCGGGTTGACCTAGTTTTCCTAATTTTTTTGACAGGCCCGTGTGAAAAAATTTCTCAATA